TAACAATATTATTATTTGAGGTCTTTTCACGTTTTTCTTTGTATTTATCCACACTAGACTTGTTGAAAGTTGTTAAATCTCTTTTCAAGCTGTTCAGATGCATCCATTTTTCCCTCAGTTTTGAGGGACATGTATCGGATCCTAGTTAGGGATAGAGAAGGGTGGCTTAGGCAAAGGCTGTCATGGTGGGAAACCATGAAACACAATCATCTTTCTTGTTCCTCTCAGGCTGGGCAGTTGGTTCTAAGAACAGCCCAAGTGCTGAGTGTTTAGGACAGATGCAAACAAGCCCTCCCACTTTCAATCTCTCTTCCAGGATAGGAGCAGTCCAACCAAGACAGGTGATTACCTGCTTTGATTCCTAGGGACAAGGGAACCATTTAGAAAGGCTCTAGGCAGTGTTGGGCTGCTGATCTGTAAATCAAACCAAAGATACATTCTCTAAGAGGGAGAAGACTAGGGACCCAATGTGACCAGATGAAGAAGCCTGGGATTTCCCCTTGTCCTCTATGGTGAATGAGACATCTCCTTCCTACTCTCCAGGAGTCTGTGAATTCTTTTTACTTTCTTTTCTTGGCTTTCAAGTAAACTTACTCTGTTTACCTGGAACATTTTCCTACCCTTTTGTTCTTTAATTGTCAGAGAAAAGGAATCTCCCCCTAGAAGGTATTGATTTCATCTTCCTGAAAATGGAGAAGCTCCAAACCTGTCCAGATGGGCATAAGTTGCTGTCTGTACTGGGTGCATAGCTCCACCATATTTTTGTTTGTTTCAGTTTGATCTCTCTTCCCCCTTTTAAGGTAATAATGAGGTTTGAGCTCAGGGCTTCCCATTTGCCAGGCAGGCACTCTACTGCTGAAACACACCTCCAGCCCTCCCTTTTTTTCTGAGCTAGTTATTTTTGCCCAGGCATGTCTGGATCACAGACTATCTATTTTAGGGTTCCCAGATGCATACCATAGCATCCTGCTTCTTTCTGTAGAGATGGAATTTCATGGACTTTTCTGGTTGGGCTGGCCTGAAACATAATCCTCCAAGTCTTAGCCTCCCATATAGCTGAGGATGACAGGTGCTCACCAGTGAGCCCACCTTATGAGTCAAGAAGAGTTCTCTTGAACTTCTTTTTCCTCAGCTGGCCTTAACCTGTGATCCTACTGTTCTCAGCCTTCCAAGCAGCTAGGATACCAGGCATGACTCACAGGTGCCTGACTTATTGCCCCTTTTTTTGAGGGGGGGGGGGTCAGTTGTGGGGCTAGAACTCTGGACCTGGGCTCTGTCCCTCAGCTCTTCAGCTCAAGGCGAGTGCTCTACTGCTTAAGCCACAGTGCCACTTCTGGTTTTCTAGTGGTTTATTGGAGATAAGAGTCTCACGGACTTTCCTGCCCAGGCTGGCTTTGAACCATGATCCTCAGATCTCAGCCTCCTGAGTAGCTAGGATTACTGGCGTGAGCCACTGGCGCCCGGCCTATTACCTCTTTTTGAAGCATACTTTCTATAGTCTGGCAGCTTCCAGAGAATATGGTGTATGTGAGGTAAATTTTTTTTGACTCTACAGGTCTGAATGTATCCTTAATAGTAATTCTTTTCTTTCTCTTTTTGGAAGCTTATAGGATTTTCTTTTCATTTCTGGCTTCTATATTTCATAATGCTCTATCTTGATGTGGATCGGTTTTTACCCAGTATTCTGAATATTTTGTGCCCTTTCAGTCCAGAAAGCTGTGAACCTTCAGATGGGCACAATTTTCTTGAATTTTTTTTTTTTTTATTACTTTCTTACTGTCAAGGTGATGTACAGAGGTCTTGAGATTTTCGGCTGATAGCTTTCTCTCTCTCTCTCTTTACAGTCAGATTTTTATGGAGTTTCTATTACTTGGATGGTGGACCTTCTGAATGGCACTACCAGTCTTCCTCATTACTCTTCTTCCTCCTTCTCCATCTCCTCTTCTTCCTCTTCTTCTTCCTCTTCCTCCTTTTTCTTCTGGTGATACTGGGGCTTGAATTCAGGTCTTGTGCTTGGTAGTCAAGCATTTCACCACTTGAGCTGCAACTCTAGCTCTGTTTAGTGTTTATTTTTCAGATAGAATTTCATTTTTTTCCTGGATTCTCCTAACTCTGCCACCTGCCTAGCTGGGATTACCGGCTCATGGCACCACATGAAGTGTAGGTTAGGGTCCCATTTTGCCTGGGCTGATCTAAAAGTACAATTCTCCCATATCCATGTCCTGTGCACAGTTGGGATTACACCTATGCCCAGCCCTTTGTTTAGATTTTTTTGTTCCACTTCCTTCACCATTGTATTTCATCCCATATCTTTTACTGTTTTTCTTTTCTTCTGCCATGCTTTTAATTTTCTTTTATTTTTTTTCCTTTTCTTTTCTTTTTCTTGCCAGTTGTAGGGCTTGCACTCTGGGCCTAGACGCTGTCCCTCAGCTCTTCAGCTCAAGGCGAGTACTCTACCACTTGAGCCACAGCACCACTTCTGATTTTCTGGTGGTTTATTGGAGATAAGAGTCTCACGCACTTTCCTGCCTGGGTTGGCTTTTAACCACAATCCTCAGATCTCAGCTTCCTGAGCAACTAGGATTACTTTTAACTTATTTTTATAATAATAATAATTACTATGACTATTATTATTATTGTATAAACTCAGGGCCTCATGCTTGTTCAGCTTGCTTGCTCTGCCAGCACACTACTCCCTGAACCATGTCTCTCCAATTGGGTTTTTTGCTAGTTGTTTTTTGAGATGGAGTCTCGAGAACTTTTCTGAGCTGATTTCAAACCATGATCCTCTGATCTCAGCCTCTTCAGTAGCTAGGATTACAGGCATGAACCACTAGTGCCCAACTGCTTTTCTTTTTCCTTGTCTTTTTCTTTTGTCAGTCGTGGGGCTTGAACTCTGGGCTTGGGCGCTGTCCGTGTGCTCTTCAGCTCAAGGCAAGCACTCTACCACTTGAGCCACAGCACCACTTCCAGTTTTCTAGTGGTTTATTGGAGATAAGAGTCTCACTGACTTTCCTGCCCAGGCTGGCTTTGAACCATGATCCTCAGATCTCAGCCTCCTGAGTAGCTAGGATTACAGGCTTGAGCCACCGGCGCCCGGCTCTTATTTTTCTTTATTAAGGAATGTTCTTTAAATTACTTTACTGTATTTGTAGGGCTATTATAAATAATCTTTGTTCTGAATATTTTGGTGTGTTTTTTGAACCTGTCTTCTCCTTGAGTGGTTACTGTCTTCCAAGATACTCATTTATTTTAGTCTCAGTTTTGTATTACAACCTTTTGACAGGTGCCTTGGAGGTCCTTGGTATGTCTGCTTGCATTCAAGAAGAGGAATTAAAATACTGCCTAGCAGGTCTACATGCACACATGAGTCTGGGAAACCATGAGCATTGATATACTGATCATAGGAAGCCAAAATATTTGGAAGCACAAATAGGCTGATCATAGGAAGCCTCTAATGTTAATACCATTGGGCATCTTGGGCATCCTTCAATCTCCTGCCTGGAGACTGAATGCTGAGGTACTATCATCTGGGAACCAAATAAGGGGAGAGGCTGTGGTCTCTTCATCCTATGTGCATGTGTTTAACTAGTCTTCTTCATTTGCCTTCTCCTGTGTCATTTCTTCCCCCAATCCCATCTTCTAATTTCTCTAGGAAATAAGCCTCCTGTAGTTTGCCAGGCTCTGTGGGGGATGCACAAATGGCCCATCTGCTTGGGTTGGCCTGCAATGTAATCCTTCCACTCTCAGCCTTCTGTGTAGCTGAGGATAAACAGGTGCTCAACCGTAGGCCCACCTTATGAGTCAAGAAAGGTTCTCTTGAACTGATCCTGTCATTCTCAGCCTTCCAAGCAGCTAGAATATCAGGAGGGACTAAATAGGAGGAGGACATTCATGAATGTAACTACTTCTAGATGAACCCTAAATCTGACATCCTGTCCATTTATTCACCAAATTGGATAACCATGAGCATTCTATGGTTGTTTAGCTCTGCACAACTTAAAGAAAGACAGTAATAGGCTCTGTTAGTGGGCTAAAAGAGCAGTGTCATTCTAACTGAAATTCTTCTTTATGGGAACATGCAGAGTGGAGAAATTGTTTTATGATAGAAGGTGATATCTCTTAAGACAGTATCAACTTAATAAACTTAATAGCAGATGCTTCAAAAGTGTTACGTTGAATCAGGTGAAATAATCAGCATTTAAAAATGTTAAAATTATGTTCCCATCTTAAGACTGAAAGAAGTGGTGTTACAAATTATCAATCACTTGACTCTTTAATAAAAACCTTTCTATATCCATTTTCACCTGGAGAAAGGAGTGCTAGTTATAATCATAGCCCTGTTCTAGACTAGTTGGAAGTCCCTGGCTGTTAACTTCTGTCCTGCTTTTAATCTGCACAGCAAGGAGCTGTAGACTAGCTGAACATTAAAAGCATGAAGGTAGAGTTAATACTTGAGTTTTCCATACCTAATGAGTTTCTGAGTTGAGCTTACAACCCAGGAGTTTCCCTTCCATAATTTAACATTTTCTACTGTATCCCTTTTAGATGAACTTGAATTGCATTTAGACAAAGTAACTTAGCGGCAACTCAGAAATGATAATTATTTAGGCGTTCAGTGACTATCCCTTGTGCTTCCAAATATTTTGCTACCTAATAAGGATAAATATGACATGCTTTTTTCTCTGTGGGAACAAGCAGCCTATGCCCTTCTGCGTTTGCAGTTGTGAGTTACCACCTCAACTACCTTTCAATATTTCTAGCCTCACTGAGAGCTTCAAATTGATCAGTAGATGAAACCCATACCTTCTTGGCTGCCTTGAAATCATCGAAGTTTTTCCCAAGATGTGAGGAAAACTCCTATACCTTTACCTGATGGGACAACCCCATCCAAGACGGGTTCTTACTTTATCATATGAGTTCTCCAGGTGTCTCAAGAGAAGAAACAGAGTAAGATCTAGAACCATACCTTGGCCTCATGATTGTTATTCTCTTTATAGGGTTATTAAGCTGGCATTACTATGTAACTATGCCTATGCCAGCCTCCACCTTCACGATTGCAGTGGGATGCTGGACAGAAGTGAAGCCTGAGACAGATTCACCAAGTGATCTGGAGGCAGAGAGATCCTTGCCACCTTCTGAGACTGACTTCAGGTTTGTATCTGGGGACTTGCTGAAAAGCAAGCACTTGGGAGAGTGGTATGATGCATTTCTTCCAAGCTCTGGGAATGTGAGTCATCCCTGCTAAGAAACTAAACCATAAAAGGATTAATCAAAGCAGGAAAAGGCCTACTGAGAAGGAAAGAGTTCAGAGACAGAAATGTGGCCATGTTATTTGTGCAGAAAGAGGAGGAAATAAGTATATGTGTGATTCTCTGTCAAGTTAAATGAAAAGAACCTTTATATGCAATACTTTTCCCTCTTCCATACCTTTATCTTTGTTTTTAGTGTTTAGCTGGTAAAATATATAACTTAGTAATAAGAAGGCACTTTTTGATGGATTACTTTGTTGAACACTGGGCCATTTTAGGTTCCAGTGACTGCTGTTAGTGTATTATAAGGACCACTTCATAGGCCTCTTTAGGAGTATAGGATACAAAGAAGTTGCCATCTAGTTAAGGAAATCCCACTGAATTAAGACCTTGTTAACTTTGGTAATTGTTTCTTTTTTTTCTAGAATGAATCAGAGAAATCAGTTTGAGGAAATTGAAAATTAGTATAAGCCATTGGATAGTCCCTTGTTACCTCCCCAGATTTTCTTGTTTCTAACCTTGAGAGGTAGAGACAGAAACAGAGACAGAGAGAGGACACTGTCCAGAAGGAATACAGAAGTATGCATCTTGCTTCATTCCTAGAACTTTTATCTCTAGCTCAGTTAAATCATTTTTCCTTCTTTAGGAAGTTGCTAAGTAACATCTGGTGGAGGCAGTCCAGATCCATGGTATAAATGATTAGTTCATTGTTGAACACCAACTAGTACATCCTCTTAGGACAAGTTCCTCTTATACTTGATTTTATTTTGCCACGTCCTTAGTATATTTGCCATGTCCTTAGGACATAAAGCCATATTCATTCTCTTCTGTCTTACTTCCCACATTTTGCTTTTTCGGCAGAAAGGAGCATGTGCGCGCACATGTATGTGTCCTTTTGAAAAAAAGAGAAAATTGCAGACAGGAGTGGCGTATGCTCCTTTATATGGGAACACTGAATTACACGTGAGACCCTCTAATGCTCTTTTCTTCTGCATTAGGACCACAGAGAAGGCTTCATTTTGTGATTGTGGGTAGCCTGAATTTCTGAGTGAGGAACGTAAGTGCACTTAGCAAGTCATGTAAATCCATAGTAGACTTGATATGAGTGAGAAATAAACCTTCTTGTGGTAAGCCACTCAAACTTGGGTTGTTTGTTATTGCAGCATATCCTTGCCAAAATTATATATACTGACTAATAAAAACTGTATGCACACATGCCTAACCCCTTAGAGAGGTGATTGTGAGTTTTACCAGAGAGTTCAAAAATAATAAAAAAAAAAATAAGCTGGGAGCTAGTGGCTCATGTCTATAATCTTAGGTACTTATGGGGCTGGGACCCAAGTATCATCGTTTGAAGCTAGCCCAGGCAGACGAATTCATTAGACTCTTATCTCCAATTAACCAGCAAAAAGTCAGAACTAGAGGCATGGATCCAGTGTTAGAGTATCATCAATGGGCAAAAAAAAAAAAAAAAAAAAAAAAAAAACTGAGCAAAAATGCAAGACCCTGAGTTCAAGCCCCACTACCGGTACAAACAAAACAGCAGAGTTTCCTAAGATACCATTTTAGCCACCTCCCTTCCTAGATACTCACTTGTCATGGTTGAATCAATGATTTTGACTAGAGGAGGTCATCAGAAAACAAAATTTAAGAGCCTTTGAGTTTGAGGATGCCATTATAAAGATGGCATCCAACCAGTAAATGGTTGGATAGGACCTTGGGGGTAAAGGCTACAATTTTTTTTTTTTTTGTAAAATGAAGGCTTTTTCATGAATTTTCAAATTCTTCATGGTGAAGTAGTATTTTTGTTAACTTGTGGATTATTAAGGATCTATGCTGCTTACCAAACAGTTATTTTCCCCTTCTATTCTTGTTCTCAAGAGATGCAGGACAGGGTCTGAACAGCCACATTTTCTTTGTGTTCTCTCAGCCCAAAGCAACTGGGATGGCTTTTCATTTGTCTTGTGTTTGATTATTTTGAATAGAGGCAGACATGGTTACATCAAATGAGGACTCTGAGAGGATATATGCCCAGGATTTCTGTTGGGGTTTTGGAGAAAGGGTAATGCTATTCCTCTCTTGTCTCCTTATATTCAGAACCAGCTGAAAGAAGAAAAGACAGAAAAATAAGTTTGATTATTAACAAAATCTTGCACTGAGGGAATGCCCCATTGCATGTTCTAAATGGGTTTTCTAATATTTCATTTCCACAGTAGACCAATTTCCCCACTTAGTTACCAACCCATCTAAACTGGCTGGCTGCTAGCCTCCATAGCACAAATGTCCAGCCTAACACAGGACAAAGAGCAGGCCCCAAAGGATCCAATGTGTGTGCAAATAGGTCCAAAGAAACTATTCCAGAGTTCTAAACAATGAGGGAAGCTAGGGGAGAGGTTGAGTATGCCTTTCCAAGGAAGTGCATTTTTGTAGAATTATAGAACCTGCAGAATAGGCTCCCTTATTATTCCCTTCCATGTCTGACTTATGGCTTTTCTTCATTTACAACATACTTACTTGTCCATCAGAAACGTACTGCTGAAAAAATAATAATTTAGCTGGGCGCCAATGGCTCATGCCTGTAATCTTAGTTACTCAGGAGACTGAGATCTGAGGATCATGGTTCAAAGCCAGCCTGGGCAGGAAAGTCCATGAAACTCCTATGTTCATTTAACCACCAGAAAACCGGAAGTGGCGCTATGGCTCAAGTGGTAGAGTGCTAGCCTTAGCTGAAGAGCTGAGGGACAGCACCCAGGCCCAGAGTTCAAGCCCCACAACCAACAAAATAATAATAATAATAATAATTTATATTTGCTTAATCCCGGTGTGGTTTCATGTTTCATATGTGCCATCTTTAGCTGTCAGAAAGTGTTTCTCTGTTTTTATCCACAAAATCTCTGACTCTATGCTAGTTTGACAACAGAGGTGCTCTGAAGTGCCAATCACCATAGTGTTTTTGCTTATGTTCACATCTGGTCCCCCCTTGCTTTTCCACCCCCTTCCTACTTGAAACCTTCCTAGTTCAATTCATGTAAATCTAACTTTTATAGGGGCCTTATATACTACAGGCTTTCACTTGCCTAAAGTACTCATCTGGGTTCCAGAAATTTGGCCAAAGGATTGGTCAGTATTCATGTGGGCTAAATTATGACATTCCTTCTCCAGTGCCAGTTTCACACATGGTCTAGTCCACTCTGAGTGAGCATTTTAGTAAAATGCATTAGCTATAAGGCACACAGATAAACTATCCAAAGCTTATTAATATATTCAGCCTCAGTCATGGGGAGATCTTCTCAAGGCTTTTTTGGGGGCTATACAGCATCATCATGACATGGAAACTTGGAGAAAGTCCAGAGGGAACCAGCAAAAATGATCAAAGGCATAGAAAATGAGCATTGTGAAAAAGGCAAAAGGCTTTAATCTTATTTATTCTAAAAAGAAGACTTGATGGGAGAAGGGGTTATCTTTAGAGTTGTAAAGACTAGGAAAATTGCTAGAAAAGGAAAAGACTTTGAGTTGATTATAGATGTGGAAGACTTACTTGTTTTTTTGTTTATTATTTACCAGTGCTGGGGTTTGAACTCAGGGTCTCTTACCTCTTCACAGACAAGACCATTGGACAATGAGTTGGCTGGTGTAACAAATTGTGGTAGAGTCTTAGCACAAGAAGAAACCTTAAAAACTATTTTAGTTTTGCTTTACTTATTTCTAATTATAGTATAATTGACATACATCCAATGTGCAGGCCTTAAGTATTTGGCTTAAATTTTTGTGACCATTGTATACATCCTAAACCAGACAATATTTTGTCACTCCAGGAATTTCCCTTCTATGTCTTTCAAGTCAATCCCTTCCCTCTCTGGGAAGCCACTTTGGTGAGACTGTGGGAGACAAGAAGAAAAACAGGTCCTAGATACTGAGTTACATGGCTCTGTTCATAGTCTGAGGACAGCCATGGAAGCCCAAGCTTTCGAGTCCCCATTTAGGGGACCCACAAGTGGGCTTCTCTCAACAAATTTCTATGTCTATTCATATCTCTACCGGTGTCTCTTGCCCATAGCTTGATTGCCTTAAAGTCTTGTACCTTCTCTTACACTTTGATTATGGAAAAGTAGTGCTAATTTCCATAATTGGCATCATCTTCACTTGGTAAGATGTGCCATACATGTCCAGAAATAATCTAATTCACCTTTCCTTCTAAACAAATGGTAAGCATGTCTTTTCTCCTGAACTGATGGGGGTGGGGGACGAGAGAGAGAGGTGTGTGTGTGTGTGTGTGTGTGTGTGTGTGTGTGTGTGTGTGTGTGTGTGTGTACATGTGCGCGCACAACTGATTAACTTTATTTTCCTGCCTTTGGTGTTCTTGTTTGTAACAAGTAAACTTGCTTCCTGATAATAGCCTATGTGTTTCTAAATGGAATGCCTTTTTACAGTATGGCTGCACTTTGTCCACATGCCTGCATACCTCTGGCATCTCTATTCATTTTTTTTTGTTGTTGTTGGTCATGGGGCTTGAACTCTGGGCCTGGACACTGTCCCTCAGCTCTTCAGCTCAAGACAAGCACTCTACCGCTTGAGCCACAGCGCCACTTCAAGTTTTCTGGTGGTTTATTGGAGATAAGAGTCTCACGGACTTTCCTGCCCAGACTGGCTTTGAACCGTGATTCTCAGATTTCAGCCTCTAAGTAGCTAGGGTTACAGGCGTGAGCCACTGGCACCCAGAGGCATCTCTAGTCTTTAACAGCCTCTGAAAGCCTTGCAACAGACTATATAGGTGCTTAAATTATAGTTGCACATTATGTTCCTGTGTGAACACATTAGAAAAAGCTACCAAGGTAGTGCCTTCACGGAGCAGCCCTTTCTACTTTAAGAAACACAAATAATGCACACCTGTAATGAAATGTTTACCAGTGGGCACCTTTGTTCACTCTGCACCGCAAAGCAAAATTACCAGTCTATAGATTTTGGTTGTGATTCAATTCTTCCTGTCACTTTATCCTTGCAGAAGTTTTTTATTTCCATCTATTTTTTTTTTCTTTACCCTTCCAGCAATGAAGCATACTGAAACTTTGTTTCTTGAAGTACTCTAGTACAGGGTAAGGCTTATTTACATAGTCATGTGGATCTCCTGAGCACAGGCCTTGGACAGGTGGAAGAGTTTATAGATCTGAACAGGAACTGTCATTGCAGCCTGCTCTGTGCTAGAATAGACCAACATTTAAAGGTTCTTCAGTATTCGCTGTGAATCACATGAACACCTACAGTTAGAATTTTAATTTACAATTTAAAGTTAGAGGAGCTTTCCATTGTGTTTGGATAAAGGATATGTTCACAGGTGAAAAAATAGAGTTCCCTTTGATGTCTCTTTCTTTGGATAGATTGGTTCCCCTGAGGCCTGTGAGTCAGGTTCTAGGAATTCGTTTTTCAGCTCCGCCTTTGCCTTTCAGGGAAAAACAGCAGTAATCAGATGTTGCTGGCTGGACTCTGGTCTGTTTCCTTACAAGACTGACTTGGTTAAATTATATTTAAAGTAGATTGGAGAAAATATCACAGCAAACATGAAGCTCAGGCGCCAGTGGCTTAAAACTGTAATCCTAACTACTCAGGAGGCTGAGACCTAGATGGCGAATCAGTTAGAAGCCAGCTAGAGCAGGAAAGTCTGTGAGACTCCTAATCACCAATTAACCACCATAAAGCTGAAGTGGAAATGTGGTCAGGGCAGTCTTGAATGAAAAAAGATAAGAGACAGTGTCCAGGCCCTGAGTTCAAGCCCCAGTACCTGCACAGACATACACAAAAATGCCTCTAGCCAAGCACCAGTAGCTCATACCTACAATTGTAACTACTCAGGAGGCTGAGATCTGGAGGATGGTGATTCAAAACTAGCCCAGTGAAGAAAAGTACATGAGACTTCATCCCCAAAATAACCAGCAAAAGGCCAGGCTGGCTGCATGGCAGAGTGCCAACCAATCCACCAAGCAGAGCAAGTTTGAGGCCTTTAGTTCAAACCTCACTACTGTTGGGGGTGGGAGGGAAGCCTCTATAATCCTTTAAAAAAAAACACCTAGGTAACTTTTCAGTAAAATACTTTGACTTCTTTGGAAAAGTTTGTACCTATAGGTTTGTTTTGTTTATTGTAACTCATACCAAGTATTTCACTCTAAAAAAAAAAATTCCAGAATGGGGTCTTTTTTTGGCTTTATTTTTTTTAATTTTTTTGGGTCAGTTGTGGGACTTGAACTCTGGGCCTGGGTGCTGTCCCTCAGCTCTTCAGCTCAAGATGAGTGCTCTACCACTTGAGCCACAGCGCCACTTCCAGTTTTCTGGTAGTTTATTGGAGATAAGAGTCTCACAGACCTTCCTGCCCAGGCTGGCTTTGAACTGTGATCCTCAGATCTCAGTCTCCTGAGTAGCTAAGATTACAGGCATGAACCACCAGCGCCTGGCTCAGAATAGGGTCTTTAATTTGCTGTTCCATTTTCCTTTCTGAATTATCAATTGTCCTTTACTTGGAGAAGATTTTCCATGGTGATATTTAAGAGCACATTACAGAGAGCAGAAATTGCTTTTAGTTGGATATGAAGTAGTTTTATTGTTTTAAGTCTTGGGTCTTCCCTGCCCCTACCTAGTTTATCTAAAACAAGATTGTATTTCTTTCACAGCTTAGACTGGACTTACTCAGCTTCAATATGTATTTTGATCAGTTCATAATTTTTCACTGCTATCAGAAACAGAGACGCCAAAGATTCTTATCAGCATATCTGAACCACTGTCTCCTAAAAGTTATCTATGTCTGTAGGAGTTCCTTACCTGCACTACGAGAAGAATAAACATGATTTCACATTAAATAAATCTGTTTTGTCCTGTATGTTTCCAGATACATTGATGTTTGCAGTCACATGGAATACCCCTGCCGCTTCCAGTGTGCCTCTGCCATCACCCAGGAGATCATTCCTCATCGAGTCTTTGCACCAGTATGCCTCAAGGATGCCTGCCAAGAGACCCTACTACCACTGATCCCACTTTGTCTCTCAGCTGCACATTCTGTCCTAGGAACACATCCTTTCTCCAGGCTGGATATACTTATCGTCCCTGCCAACTTTCCAAGTCTGGGGATGGCCAGGTATGTTCTTCTGTTGTGACATTTAAGTACATGCTTTGGAAATTCTTGGAGTATTTCTTGTACTGCTTGAGCTCTGTGAGAACTGGAATTTGATTAGAATAGAAAGCCTTGGTAATTCTTGGACACTTACTGCTGCCTTTAGTGACAGTTTTTGAGCAGATTCTATTGAATGTGAGCCTATAGGTGCCATGGGTTCAGTCTAAGTTGCTTTGAAAACGAAAAGCTCATGTTGTGGCTGGAATTAAGAACACATTGAGCTCCCAGAGTGATGTATGTTGGGTCATGGCTGATCAGTGGCTGTTAGCTTAGTGATGAGAGCATAATGTTAATGAGTCCAAGGTCATAGCATCAGACTTTGGGCATAGTAACATGACCTGGTCCCAAGGCCACAAACTGCTCAACTAATCCTGACCAGCTGTCTCATCTATTCTCACCACTGGTCACAAGGCAATGACTTGAGAGCCTCTGTATGAGAGAGACTGGCTGGATCGGTGTAAATCCATCCTCACTGCTAGAAAAACAGCTAAAAGCAGATGGCTTACCCTGGGTTCTTGTTGGGAATTACTTGTCTTGCTATATACTACTTTTTAATACAGTGAATGCCTTCTTATTGTGTCTTGGTTTAGTTCTTACAGAAAATCAAGACCTGCAAGTTGAACGCTTCCCTGTGTATTGTTTTCAGTTAAAACCCCTTCACGAACATTATTATTCATTCAGTAGAGGCTAGTTCCACTGAGAAAAGATAAAGTACTCAGTTTTCCTTTGTTATATTTCTATTTTCAAATCTTAATCATTAACAGTGAATATGCTTGACTAAGGATGGGAAAAATAAGCTCATCAAAACATTCAACTTTAAGTTTTTCCCTATTAGTCAAGGAAATTCCTGGTGCCAATTAATTTCCATGCTTTTGAACAGCTGTCATTTGTGGTGTTTTCTCTGAAAACTGCACACATTCTTAGTAAAACTCATGAGTTAAAAAGAACTGACCAGAACATTTGCTTTTGATCTTTACTACATACACACACTTTTTAAAAGCTGGCTGGCTTGCCTTAATCTTTGAGGAGGTCTGAGAAAGTCATTTAGACTGATTTTTATCCTATATTTATAAAGAAAATGGGAATGTAGAAACTAGGATAATTACATATATTTGGTTACATACATCTTATAATTGTCTTTGGTGTCTATATATAGGATTTGTCTTAACAAGGGGGCTTCTTTGGTTCCTTTGAAGAGTCTCCTGGACTTAATTTAAGCAGTTATTGGTGAAGAAAGGGTTGTTCATTAAATGTTTCTCATTTGTATACAGTTTTGAGGGGAGTTTTTAGCACTTTATGAGAGCTGTAATCTTTCAGAGCATGTTTGCTAACAGCTCCACATTCTGGCCTGAGGGAACCAAAAGCATAGTATTTTTTGTACACAGAACCTGATTTTCTATAGCTCCTTCCTGACATAAGTCTGCCCAAACCAGAATTTGATGACCTCCAGGCCATTCTATAAAGCTTCTCTTTCAAGTGTGCATGCCCAAGCAGGTAGGCTGTATGTCTGCTGCCTTTTGAGATATTTAAAGTGATTTAAATGTACTTAACTCTATATTTTTAAAGTAGTAAGCCTAAGTACCTAAAATCCAAATGGTACTGGGCACAAATGTCAAAAAACATGGGATTGTGATAATAACATACCAGCAACAAGACTGCGATTATGCTTAAAAACCAGGAGAGGTGTACATTTAAAAATGTGTGATTGCTTGTCAAATGTCTTCCCCCCATACACACACTCCCTTTTTTAAAACTGTGGAAATAAAGTGTGCCCTGGTCTAGATGTTTTCCTGAACTTCATTACTGTTCTCTGGATTTGAACTGTGGAAGAGGTATTATGGTATCTTCCACTGCCAGTTAGAGTAGGGAAGTGGGGGAAGGGGGTGTTCTGTTTTTCCAAACTCTGACTTAAATTGATCCCACTTGCTTGGCTTGACTCTCTTGGGATCCCAACACCTTGAGCCACATGCAGCTGAGTGGGGTTTATGACTCAGCTGGCTACGAGGGCCCTGCTGCTTCATTTATGGTCAAGGCTTTGCTTGAGGTTCTAGTGAGCAAAAGCTAGAACAAAATGACAGTCCCGTAGATCAACTCTTAACAGGAAGAGAAACTCCCAAACTAGGGGGAGCCCTCCAAAAAGATCCCCTCCCACTGAAACTCGCCTTTGCTTTGTTAGTTATAATATGCTGAGAGATGAAAGGACTTGGCAAACTGATTCTTTCCCAAGCCCAGGCTTTATAAACATGAATGCAAGATCATTAAACTCCATACCTTTGGACTTCATTAGTGATTAGGTCTTAATTATAATGAATACCATTTTATATCATTTTCATATTTTCTTTTGGCAAATGACATTCAACATTCCTACATGAACTAAAATGTGCAAATCATTATTAACTCATTAAAGGATTTAAAAAATTTCAGATAATATCCATAATGACTTCACTATTTGTTAAATATTATGTGTCATACTTTGTATGAGCATACTTAAAACTCCACTATTTTGATTCTGTTTTTCGAGCCTAATATGTTATTTCAGCAAAGGAGGAGAAAAAACACATTGTATAACTTGAATGTATGATGATGACAAATCAATTTATAAGAAGGTAAATTATATACAATGTTTTAGAATTTGGGCTGGTTTTCAGATATAGCAGTAATAGAATTACTTATCTGTGCTGAATTATGTGATCTTTGTTACCTTCCTTTTTATTTTTCTTTTGTGCTGGTCCTTGGGCTTGAACTCAGAGCCAAGGAACTGTCTTTGAGCTACCATTCTACCACTTGAGCCATAGCTTCACTTCCAGCTTTTTTCTCTTTGTTTCTTCCTTCCTTTCTTCAGTTTTCTCTTTTTTTTTCTTTCTGTGATAAGAGTCTCTTTTCTTTCCTTTCCTTTTCTTCCAGAATAAGAGTCTCCAACCCTTTCCTGCCTGGGCTGGCTTTGAATTATGATTCTCAGATCTCAGCCTCCTGAGTACTTAAGATACAGACGTGAGCCACTGGCTACCTGGCATCTTTATTACTTTCTAATTTGACAAGAGTCATTACTGATTGACCTCCATCTCTACTGATAACCCTTTTCATTCTATTCTGAATCTTAGAAAAATGATTAATTTGCCTTAAAATACTTATTTTTTCCATTCCCATACTTTTCTCATTTGGTATGTATGGGCTGTTTTCATTTTGTTTTGATTTTGCCTTCCATGAAGACTGAATCTGTTATATCAGGATCTGAAAAGTAAATGTTTCTTGGACTGAGAATGATAATGCCTATATGAAGACATGAATGCAGCTCTCTTCCTGTTGTTATAATTAATAGTCTGTCATTTTCAAAGTGACCTGTTAAAGTTCCAGTGTCTCAGGTAAAGTTTGAGTAGCAAACTAATTTCCTAATATTGAAAAATAGCTGAAAGGAACTCATCGTCACGTTTACTCTTTGTTATAACAGCAATAATGTTAATGGAATAATATCCTGGAACCAGATTTATGACAGTTGCTTAAAAATTAGCACCTCAGTCTTACTCTGTATGTGTTTATAATAAACGCTTTGCTTCACCATTTGTCTTTCAGCAGTTCACAATTACATGTCACGAGGCATAATTAGGTTGGCAGAACTACCTTGCTGACATCCAAATACGCATGTTCTCCTTAGTTTCTTTTTTTTGAATTACAACAATCTCCTGCAAATGATTTCAGAGTGGTGGTTTTCTGTTTAGTTCACAGGAGAAAGAAAGCCCTATAACCCTGATTTCCAGCTTGATCTTTCATATGATCTTTGCCCTTGATCCTATTGGGGAAATTGTGTGTTGGGGGGGGGGAGTAGGGAATGGCAACAGGGTGGTTAATGGTAGGCAACAAATCCTGCTTTGACCTCTTTTCCACTGGTTCTGTACCAGCCTCACTTGCTCTAATATTAGTTCACTTTAGACTTATTGATTCAATTATTCAATCTTGCAATGTATCTCCTCCTCTTCCTCCTCCTCCACACCTCCCCCTCCTCCTCTTCCTCCACTTCCTCTTCCTCTTTTTCCTCCTCCTCCTCCTCCTTCTTGTACTTTTTTGAAACAAACTCTGAGCCCCACCCTTAGCTTGCTTGATTGTATAGAGTCCTACCACTTGAAACACACCTCTAGGCCTGCTTTTTACTGGTTATTTTGGAGACCAGTTCTCATGGACTTTTCTTCCAAAACTGGTCTTGAACTTCCATTCTCTGGATTTTAGTCTCCTAAATAGTTGGGATTATAGGCATGAACAACCAGTACCCAGCTTTAATCTCAGAATAAATTTTTATCAAGCACATATTATCAGGTATCACTTAAGATGTTGAGGCAATAAAAGTGAACTAGCAAGATGAGGTTTCTGTCTTCATGCAATAGACTTTTTAGTCAGGCGAGAAAAACAACACACACACACACAAACACACACACACACACACACTTAAGATGGTGTTGTGAAGAAAATAAGACCAAATAAATGACAAATCAGTACTATAGCTAGGGTGGAGTTGGGTCATCAGAGCTCACCTACACTTCTGTGTGAGAAAGAGAAGAGAGAAAGATGGTAGGAAATGGCAAAGAGAGATTTGAGTCCAGGCTGCTCACTACAGTCAGTAAGAGGCTATGGGTAAGCGCCAGGGAAGTCTAGTTTTGTCTTAGTTTTCTTGGGATTATAGTTATCACACTGTCTCATGACCCAGTAGTTAAAATTGATTGGCTTACCAACTGCTATCCTTTACCAGAATTCTCCATTGCTGGAACTATCAAAACACTTGGCTCCCAGACTAGCAACTCTCCTTTTGTAGAGAAGAGAGAAGTTTCAAATCACTCTTTTTCTCCCTTGTGGATTCTGATTGAGTCTTTGTAGGCTATTTTGATACAATGGGTCATAAAGAGGGAAGCTGTGTTTGTGCATTTGCTCATCCTAGGTTTAAAGTTTAAAATAATTTTGTAACCTCATCTTCATTG